AATCGCTTAGTCCGACAGGCTAAAAACGAACCTTTTAAAACAGCTACCAAGCTGAAAAAGGACTTTAACATCGATGCAACAGTACAAGCAGTTCGAAGTTGTCTGCAAGGTAACGGATTAAAAGCCTGTAGCACCAGAAAAGTTCCACTTCTATATGCCAGACATGTTGTAAAGCATATTGCGTTTGCTAAAAAACACTCAAATTGGTCACTCGAAAAATGGAGGAACATTTTATGGACAGACGAAAGTAAGATTGTGCTTTATAGTGGAAATGGATTCCGAGCGTATGTCAGAAGACCACCAAATTCAGAATACAATCCAAAATATACCATCAAAATTATTAAACATGGAGGTTGTAGTATAATGATATGGGCATGCTTTTCTTATTACAGAGTAAGGTCCATTCATCACATTACTACTATTATGGACCAACACGTTTATGTTAATACATTGGATAAAGTGATGTTGCCATATGCAGACTAGGAAATACCATTGTCCAGGGTGTTCCAACAGGACAATCAACCAAAGCACACTAGCAAGAAGGCAAAGAAATTAGTTTGAGGAGCATAAAGTGAACATTACGGAGTGGCCAGCACAGTTGCCAGATCTTAAACCAATCGAGAATTTGAGGGCTGATGTAAAGGAGGTGGTTGCTGCTACCAAACCCACCATGAAGGAGTCACTTTGGAACTTAATTAAGGAGACATGGAGCAAAATTCCGCTAAAGCGATGTCAGGACTTGTTTAACTCGATGCCAAGACTTTGTGTAGCCGTTATTGCCAATAAACGTCACGTTACAAAATACTAATATGTTAAGAAATAACTAATATTTATTGTAAAATGTTTAAAATGATTGATTTCATAATATTTCCTGATTTTAAAGTACACATTAAAGCTGTGGTGCTATTATTTTTTTCGCGTTTTATTTGATTTTTTTTTAATTTTTGTTTAATAAATGAATACTATATATTAAAACTTGCATATTTTGTTTTTTATAAAAATTATAAGCCATTTCACTTTTAAATATGTATTTAAAAGATTTTCAAACCATCAAAAATAGTTAAAATTTCTAATTTTAACCAATTTTTGGTGGTGGTGCTATTTTATTTTTCGCAGCTGTATATATATATATATATATATATATATATATATATATATATATATATATATATATATATATATATATATAAATAGATATAGATAATGGAACGCATCATAAAAAAAGGCTACAATGCATCATCTATATGTAAATAACTTAACATATCCAAGCCAAAATGGTTTAGTTAACAACAAAGCTTTTGTAACAAACCTCCTAGAAACACATGATTTTGCAACTGAAAGAAAGGCAAACAAACATCCTCTCAATATAAACTTCCTTGATTTTGAAAATGATTTTGAAAAAGTCCCTCACAGAAGACTTTTAGATAATGTATTTAAAAATGGAATTCAAGGCAAAATTCATAAATGGCTAAACTCCTTCCTATCTAACCGAATACAATGTGCTATTCTTCATGAACTAATTTCGAAATTTTAGCAAGGTTCAGTTTTCAGTCTAGTATTATTTGTTATTTATCAATGACTTTCCTGACAATCTCTCCGTTCTACCTAAAATGTATGCTGATAACACTAAATTACTTGCAAAAATAAATTTAAAATATCAAGAGCAGTATAAGCATACTCTTATCTATCTAGACAATTTTTATTTTTACAGTTAACTGGATTAATACACTAAATATAGATAAATTAAGCACATAAGTAAAAACAATCTCAAACTACACTCTTACCAATTACAATACTAATATGAGATTTTATCTTGCAAAAACTACCTGTGAACAAGATCTTGGTGTTTTAATATCATACAATTTTAAATCTTACATGCACACATACCTCATCAGCTGGTGCTTTTATCAGTTGTAATGTTAATCTCTGGAAGAAGTTATATACTTGCTATGTACATCCATACCTTGAACCTGCAGTGCAAGCATGGAATCCTTACCTCCCAAAAGATCAAATCTTCTTAAATCAATTCAACATATGGCGACATGAACACTGCATGCAATAAAAGACTTTAAATATAAACTTAGATAAAAAAATTTAACATTGCCCCATTAGATTGTAGACATGATTGTGGTGATATAATTCAGCAACATAAAATATTTGTAGCACCAATAATATACAATGGATCAAACCACAAATAATTATTCCAGCTTGTGCTAATTAAACTCGATCACAACTAAGACAGGAAATAATAAAAAGTTATCAGCCTAGACATCATTTCTTTACTAATTGTATTGTCTCTAAATGAAATGACCTCCTCAACAATTAATCAGCAAAACTGCCACAAGGCCTCATCTTCTATTGACGTAGACAATATGTTGTGGCAGTCATCTACGCACCATTTAACCCTCGTTTGAATGTGCTGCAGATTTTCATACTTCTACTACTACTACTACTACTACTACTACTACTACTACTACTACTACTACTACTACTACTACTACTACTACTACTACTACTACTACTACTACTACTACTACTACTACTACTACTGCTGCTGCTGCTACTACTACTACTAATGCTACTATTACTGCTACTACTATCTGCTACTACAAAACAAGATGGCACAACAATTTTAAAACAGTAAAAGTAAAAATCTTATATGATTGAAATCAATGTCCAAAAAAAAATTTATGTGTGCAATAATCAAATATTAGGCCAAAGGCTGAAAACCTCATATTTTATCTTTAAACAGTAAAAAAATCCTTTCACTTTACCTCAGGTTTTACTGTTTGCATGAAAATTTTAAAACAGAAGTTTTTAAAATTTTCACTGTTTTTAAAAATTAAAATGAGTTAACAATATTTGTAAATTTTCAAAACGCAGTCAATCGAAATACATGAATAGGTAAAAAAATTTGTTAAAATTAAATTAAAACATAGAGCTACGATCATTTGTTTTCAATTAGGCAAAGTTTGTGGTTATTATTTGTTTTTCTGTTTAGTTGACAATAATAATAATGACAAGGACGATAATGATACTAAAGATGTTGCAAGTAATTTTGAATGCATTTTAATTTTTTATAAATACTTTTGTAAACAAAATAAAAATTTTACTTTGAAGGTAAATAGATTATATACTAAATAGATAATATATTACAAGTTTATACTGTAATATATATTTTCAGATAATATAGTAAACTCTTGTCATTTTAAATTATTATAATTTATATGCCTACTTTTTTTTAGGCTAAACATAAATAAACCTTATTTAATTTATGTTTATTAACAATCTGTATTAAGGGATGTTTACTGATAGTAATAGTAATAATAAAATAAAAATAAATTACAAAATTTCTTGCCATTTCAGTTTTTATTTATATTATTAAATATTTTTATATAAAACTAATTATTTAAATTAAATACATATAAAACATGTCCAATACATATACAATATAAAACATGTACAAAACATATCAATATAAAACATGTACAATACATATACAATATAAAACATGTACAAAACATATACAATATAAAACATGTCCAATACATATACAATATAAAACATGTCCAAAACATATACAATACAAAATATGTACAAAACATATCCAATATAAAACATGTAAAAAACATATACAATATAAAACATATACAAAACATATACAATATAAAACATGTACAAAATATATACAATATAAAACATGTACAAAACATATACAATATAAAACATGTACAAAACATATACAATATAAAACATGTACAAAACATATACAATATAAAACATGTACAAAACATATACAATGTAAAACATGTACAAAACATATACAATATAAAACATGTACAAAACATATACAATATAAAACATGTACAAAACATATACAATATAAAACGTTTTTAATACTTCTTAATATACTTTCTCACTTATTTTTTTGCAACACTTTCTTTCATTATTAATAATTTCATTATTGTATAATTATTATTATTACTATTATTATTATTATATAAAATATTTTCTTTTATAAAAAATTGTCTTATGCTTATTGGGCAGCTAATTTATCCTTTTAAAACAAAAAAAGAATATATATAAATATTGATTATATATAAATATATAATCAGTATATAAAAGAATTGTATACACCTTTAATTGCTGGAAGAAAAATGTTGAAAAATGTTTCTTGCATAAAATACTTTTTTTATTTATTAAAAAATAAAACTTGCATTAACAACAATATTGACTATTATTTTGATGGAATACAATTGAAATGCACAAAGTACAAAATCATCATTTTAAGATAATGAACAAATAAGCTTTTTCATAATAGTTAAAATAATAAGTTTTTGTATAAAAGTTGAAATAAAAAATCTTAATAACTCATTAATGATTGATTACCATACAAGTTTAATAAACATGTATGGTATTAAATTTGTGTGGTATATCAAACGATAGAGAATTTAAAATACTAAATAGTGGTATAAATAATTCCATACAGCCAAAAATGGACTTGGTGCATTTCCCTTGTTACTGACGATTTTATTGTAGGAGCAACCGAATTTAACTTACCTGATCTAAACGCCTGTTTTCTTCTTTCTGCCTAATAAAGTCATCTTTTAGCCGAACTAACTAAAAATTTAAAAACACTACAAGTATTTTTCTATTGTTTAATGAAATCTTAATGTGCCCATGCATTTTATTTAATAACAAAACTTAAAAAGAAATCAAATGTGAAGAAAATTTTAATACTTACAAAATTTTGATATATTTTTTTAAATTTAAAATTTTGATATTTCTTAAAGTGTGTATAGATATAAATTCACAAGTTAACATGCTTACATACAAATTATTTATTATGTTTATATGTTAAAAACTTTTTATACTGTTTTACTTTTATGTTGATTTTAAGTATTTTCAAATTAAAAAAACTGTTTAACAAAAAGTGCAAATAAAAACCTCCTAATTTACATAGGTATTACCATTTTATTTAGAGGTGATATATTAGTGGTAGAGGTGATATATTAGTGGTACAGGTATCAAGAAGTGATAGTAGTGTGGTAGTTTATATACAATTAAAAATCTCTATTTTTGGAATGTATTTTGCTATTAACTAAAGTGCAATAAAATACATAGGTAATAGTGCAATGAAATGTTAATTTTCTAAAATTCAAGATTCTAGAAGAAAGTTCTCTATGATAAAGTAATAAATGTAAAAAGTTATTTAAAATTTACCATACAGTTAAAAGAATATAAAAATTAATATAAATAAAATGTAAAATAACCTTGTCATGTGTTAAACCTGCTGGAACTGATTTCCCATTCTGTAAACGATTCTATTTTGAATAAAAATATTTTAAACAAATTAAAAATCATTTTTCAGCACTATCTTTTTTTTAAAAATAAAAAAAATAAAAATAATAATACAATAGTGGTGCAGTAGCAATTAATGTTTGGACACTGCTGGAAGTATTCAACTTTCTTTTCCGTACATGAGATATGGAGTCATGTTGCTTGAAACATGAACCTTGATTGTTAATATGTTTTAAAACTGCAGGTTTGTTAGGTTATAAAAATTAAGAAAAAAAAGTAGCTTTCTCATCTAGAGTAACCCCTATGAGGAGTTAAATTTAATTTAAAAAACTATTATTTCATGATTAATATAATAATAATTATTATGATAATTATAATTATGATTTAGATTACTAGACAAGCCTTAAGAGTAGTTTTTTATAGGAATGAGGCAATATGAAATAGTTGAGTTTTTAAATTCTTGAAAAGCAACTTGAAATAGTTGAGTTGAGCAGCAACTTAAAATAGTTGAGTTATTAGATTCTTGAAAATTTCATATCTTTACATCATTTCATAAGAAAAACCTCTTTTTTAACTGCATAAAAGCACTTCCTCTCATTTCAAACAACTTTTTTAACTGCATAAAAGCACTTCCTCTCATTTCAAACAACTTTTTTAACTGCATAAAAGCATTTCCTCTCATTTCAAACAACTTTTTTAACTGCATAAAAGCATTTCCTCTCATTTCAAACAACTTTTTTAACTGCATAAAAGCACTTCCTCTCATTTCAAACAACTTTTTTAACTGCATAAAAGCACTTCCTCTCATTTCAAACAACTTTTTTAACTGCATAAAAGCATTTCCTCTCATTTCAAACAACTTTTTTAACTGCATAAAAGCATTTCCTCTCATTTCAAACAATTTTTTTAACTGCATAAAAGCATTTCCTCTCATTTCAAACAACTTTTTTAACTGCATAAAAGCACTTCCTCTCATTTCAAACAACTTTTTTAACTGCATAAAAGCACTTCCTCTCATTTCAAACAACTTTTTTAACTGCATAAAAGCACTTCCTCTCATTTCAAACAACTTTTTTAACTGCATAAAAGCACTTCCTCTCATTTCAAACAACTTTTTTAACTGCATAAAGTTTTTACATCAAAATATTGAAATTTATGAAAAATGACAATGTTAAAACGTTGTCATTGAAACTTCAAATTGCAATAACTTTTGGACCGCTTTGAATTGGTCTGAGATTTTCAGGTTTTTCTTATGAAATGATGTGAAGATATTCCTAATATTTTCAAGAAAATCTAATAACTCAACTATTTCAACTTGCCTCATTCTTATAAAAAACAGCTTTTAAAAAATAGTTATGAAGAACTACTTAAAAGAGCATCAAGAAAATAATGTAAATATGCAAATAATAAACTTGCACATTTCACTAAGTAAAAAAGCATTAGATGCCAGATTTCTTAATCTTCACATTTACAAAACTCTGCCGCTGTTCCTGTTGTAAACCCATTTTTCTCACAACAAACTTATTATCCAGTACAAAATATTTATAAGGAAATTTTTTAAAAGTTAAGTAGTTATTTTTTTTAAAATAGTTTTGTGTTAATTAGTTTGTGGTATCCATGATTTTCATGTTTCATGTTACTAAATAAAAAATTTAACATTTTTGATAAAAATTTTAATAATTATATTAAAAGTTAATTATTAAGAATAACACAAAATTTGGCATTGTACATCATCAAATTAGTACATATTAGGAATAATTAATTTCAAGTAATAGTAAAAATGCAAAATTGTAGATGATTAATACATTAGTACATAGTTTTGGAATTTAAAAATTAATAACAAGACAAACCCAATTATGGTAAATGCAAGTTAAAGGTTTTAAATTCATGACGTGTGTTTGTTTGTTTTTTCCAGATTATTTAAGAAATTTAAATGTTGAAATTTCGATTTGTTGCTCAAAAAATAATGAGCATTGCAAAAAAACATTGTGATTAGAAAAGAAAGATACAATAAATTTCCAAGATACACAATATAAATATAAGATAAAGAAATTACTTTTCCAGATACATAATCAGGGCCTATTTTAGGAAAAAAAATTTGATCGACAATACCCTCCCCCCTGTTTCGACAGACCTTAGCGGAAAAGCTGCGTTTTTCACGATATTTGCTTTAAAAACGTAAAAAAAAAGTAAAAAAAAAAATCTTTAGATTTTAATTTGGGCGATGCCCAAATACGGTCAACACTGTTGAAAACGGTCTAGAATAGCCCCTGATAATATGAAGATAACACGTGTAAAAAAACCATTATGACAAACTTTATCGAAAGCCTTTGATAAGTCGAGAGCCTTTTTTCGCCTACTTATAGAACATTCCTGTAATAATGATTACCTAGTAAAAAAAAACAAGATTTTAGTGAATGAAGAAATTGACTCAATTCGAAATAGAAGATTGTTTGTTTAAGGCTGAAAGACTTTTCTTATAAACAGTAAGAAGACTGATTGGGCAATAGTTGAAAGGGTCAGTGTGATATTTAAAGTTTAATAAACACAGATGTCATTTTCCAGCAGGAATAATTAGTCATAATTTAGGACTTTATCAGTAATGTTATCTGTACTAAAACAGATTAACCTAATTTTTTGTAATGAAAAAAAAAAGTGAGGTTATTAGATTCTAGCACATAATTTAAATAAACATTCTTCTCAAATAGTTATAGTTTGTCTCATAGAGCGGTAATAAATTCAGAACCATGTATGAAAGATTGAATATTAGACTTGTCATTCTTAATGACAATAACAATAACATTTTTATATGAATAATGACACTGTTAAATATTTTTTCCTCTAGAAGTTAGATTGATTTCTAAGTATTTAAGATTTTGAAAATGAAATTTTAATTTCGATTTCAAAATAAAGCAAAATAAAATAATAAGCAAAAAAAAAAAAAAAGATAAATAAGAAAAAATATATATATAATATTAATCAAACATATTCATACCTCTAATATCTCAACGAGCTTATTAAGTTCACATTCTCCTTCTTCATCAATTGCATCCTCTAAGCATCTATATATATATATATATATATATATATATATATATATATATATATATATATATATATATATATATATATATATAAAATATTAATTTCTGCCCCAACCCAAATCTTTAGTTAGTGTATTGGTACTCACTAGGATGTTCTCCCTAGATAGCCAGTTAATATATGTACTGAAGCCCTCAAAGTTCCCTATTTCAATATGACATCTTATTAGCAATGTAATACAGTTTGTATGTACATATAGCCATTATCAGTTAAAACTTTAGTTAAAAATATATTTTTTAAAACAGTATAAAATATGGTAATTGTGGAATATACATTCTTAAAACATTTTAAAAATAATTGAATACAGAATGATCAAAAACCAAATGGATATACCATACATAAAATTAAAGTAAACACGTGTAAAAGTGAATTATTGAAACAGAAGCTCTGTAATTATGTATTAATAAATTTTGTGACGATTAGATATATAGTTACTGATGAACAAGAAGAAAATATGAGAAGATGCATAAAACCGTATTATTATGGCATGGACATTTGAAAACAACTATAAGTTTGCATAGTAATACAGCATTGACTGTTAAAGGGTTAACACAGGTTCCTCAGGACTTGTGTTAACACTTTAACAGTTAAAATTATATCCAGAGCCCAGTGTCTTGGGTTCTAGATATCAAAATCAATCGCACTACAATTTACATACAAAAGTGGGGACCATGCCCTGTTATCCATATACTTGCAGATCAAAATCCTTATATTTCCTGAAAGATCAATTAATTTAGAATGATGTGTAATATAAATTTTTAATATCATCAAGGCCACATGAGTTTATTGAGCATTAAAAACAGGTATACAAACATTGCCTAAATTTATTTAGATTGATTATTACAGGCACTTAAAAATTTTTTTTACATTCCTTATCATTTAATTAGATTCTTCACCCCTGTAAATAACCAAATTTTTAAGTAAATATATCAAATATTTTAAGTTATGTTATTTAAAAACATGGTGATTCTGAGGGAAAAAGAGGGGCCTGGCCAATATCTGCTATAAGTAAAATGGTCATATCTTCTAGGGATCTTGAGATCTTATGATCTTGAGGATCTTTTTGGATTTAGAAGGTAAAATATTCAAATAATACTTATTGTACTATGTATTCTCAATTATATACAAATCAGCAAAATTTGAGATATATGGTGACACTTTTACAAATTGACATGGAATTACATGGAATTACAATCAATTGACATGGAATTACCCTATACAAATAAATAAAAAAATTAAATTTATTTGAACAAATGTCAAATATAATAAAAGAATTGTAAAATAATATAACAGTTCTTTTGTTATATTAAAAAATGATCAACTTTAAAATAAAGTGAAGATATTGAAGAATATATAATCTGTTATAAACATTAAAAAAAACCCATCATAATAACAAGGATAAATTTAGAATTAACTGAAACTTATTTAACAAAAGGATAATTTATGTTCTGTAAATGTAAGCTAAGAGCAATAATATAACAAACCTGTATTCATTATCACTTTGAAATTGTGGTTTGTGGTTTGGTGTAAATAGAGTATATAACTCATTTTTTGGTGCTCGTTCTTGTAGAAATCTTCCCAGAAAAGTAAAAAATATCTAATAGAAAAAGTATTATATTTAAAGTTTCTGATCTTTAAACAGAACCCTATAGAGAACAAAAGAACATATTAATAAAATAAATAAAACAAAATAAAAATAATAAACATAAGCAATAAACTTCTTAACAATTCGAATATAAATAATTTAAAACATTCTGACAAATAAGTTATATGTAATAAATGACATAATGAAATAATATAAATCAAATAATAATAATAAATATTTGAAATAAAATATTGTAAACAAAAATTAAAAATTATTTAATTTAACTAATATTATTTAATATATTTATTTAATCTTTTTTATATGTATAAATCAGGGATGTGACTTTTTGCTACCAACAGTTTTCAATATCAAAACAGACAAACTTTGGTTTGAAAGTAACTTAAAAGTCATTGGTTTTATGAAATTTTTGAAAAAGGTCACCCACCATGACCATTGAAAACACACATTTTTTTTTTTAAAGTATATCAACCTGGGTCTCAAAAGAACCAGAATTTCATAGAGATTTCAGAAATATTAATGGTTTTAAATAAAAATAAATTTAATTGTTGAGTTAAGTATATATAATTTCTCAAATTTTATATACAAAAAACAACAATTTTCAACTAAAAATTAAAAGGGTTGTTTTTTGTGACATTTCTTTTTTTTTTTTTTAATGTTTCAGTAGAAAAGATTATGAACTTTGAAATCACTATTCTTTTGAGACCCAAAATTTTTTTGGTTGACTTTTAATAAACATTAATCTTATATGCTGTTACTATTTGAATAAGTGTTACTTTTAATCGTGTCAAAATATTATTTATTTTATCTTATTTACACTACAGTCATACACTTACATAGAAACAATTCTTTTATTTTCAATATCATAACTTTTGATTATTAGCGCATATTAGCAATTATTTAGCGATACAAAAAAGTATATATTATTATAACACAATTATAAAATTATTTACTTCTAACAATCATAAAACTATTTACCAAAACTAATTACCAAAACTAATATTTACTAAGAACCAGAACAATTACCAATATTGAAAGAAAAAAAAAGTTTTTCAATGAAAATACTTTTTACTTAGATAAAATTAGTTTTGGGCGCAAAAAGGTACGAAAGTGCCAAGCCATTACTCAAGGTAATAAATGCTCCTAACTAAAATGAACTAAATATCTACCATAACTTGTTATTTATGTCTAAACTTCAAAATGAAATAATTCCTAAATATTTTTATAAAAATTTTTCTCTAATTTATCATAAACATGAAACAAGACACTCAAAAAATAATTACTAAATTCCATTAACATCACTAAAAAAATTTGACTTCTCAATTACATGTCAACCATGCTTCTGGAATTCAAATCTTGATAAAAATATGAAAACTTTTACTTTTGCTTTTTTATTCTTCTTTTGTCAAACTGTGTTTAGCTTCCAGGTCAGCTTTGTAACTTAGCTTTGAGCTAATTTAACTGATTGTATAAATGAATTTGTTATGAGAATATTGAGTATGGATCCAAAGCTCAACATGGTTTCTTTTACAAACCTCAAAGCCTCAATTGTATCTGAATAAAGTAAAGTACTATGTAACTGAAAAATGTGTTTGTTATTTAAAATCCATTCTCTGGGACACTAATTCCATGTGAAAGTGAAGGAATTACTTTGATAAATGATGAAATATTAGGAAACTAAGGTGAACCACTATCATTCAAAATTTTTGTTTTGAAGGAATCGATTAGTGTATCAATATTAAACCTTCATAAAAATTTTGTAACTACAGGAAGGTAAGCTGAAAGGTTTTTTCCCATTATGAAGTTTGATATCTCCCAATTGAAACTACTTCTTCGAGGTAAACTCACTACATTATCACATACCTCTTCCTTTGATGAACAGGATGGAAAAACTTTACATAAGACTACTTCCAATTATTTACATACTTGTAAATTGTAGTGAAATTTGAGAAATAAAAATAGAAACAAATAGAAATGTGTGTATGTAATAATCTATCTATATCTATCCTTTATATCTATTGAATATGTTATCAACAATTATCAAACATATTCAACCCCTAGAGACTTATTACTTCCTTTTTTTGAAGGATCAAGTAAGATTGCATTTTTTAAAAGAGCTGATTCCCAAGGTGATTTCAATTTTAAATAACTTGTAAATGTTTTATAAGACACAAGACAATTTTGTCAAAATTTCTTCTCACCACATGAGATTTCCAGACCTTCTGAAAATAAGGCTTGGCTTTCGTCCCAATATCAATTAACCACGGTTTGAAAATTTTGACTTTTTTGTCGACTAAATATCCCAAAATTGCCCATTTTGAGGGTTGATATATATATTGGTGTCTCCAAAACAATAAATTTTAAAATCCTGGATTAAAATTTAAGGGATATATTTATCTTTGGATTTTTTATTTTTTTTTATTTTGATACTTTACAAATATTTATCAGCAAAAATATATTGTTTTTTTACCATACTTTAACAATTGCGACACAACCAATTCCCTTAGGGCAGTCATTTAGAATATTCTCTTTAAGTAATCATTAGTAATTGCTACACAAGTAATTCCCTCAGGATCAATATTTATTACACTCTCTTCAAAAAAATCATAATTGATTGCAAAACTATTTCCTTGGAACAAATTCAGCACAAAGAATTTGCACATAAATGAAATAAAAAGATGTAGCACTAAACTTATGATAGTCAAGATACGAGAAACTAAAAAACAGTTTAACAGTATATAATTAATTTTAATATATTTAATATATAAACGTAAATAAAAGTTACAAATATCAACATGACTTTCTCTCTTTAAATCACGCTAAAAAATATTACACTTACAAACTAAATAAAAAGAATAATGGATAGGTATTGAAATCATTGTTATTTTTAGCGATTTAAAAAAAAAATAAAAATGCCTATATTTTTCAAAGACCATGATGATTTCAGATGGATAGTGTGTGTTTTTTGTATGAAGAAAAGTGACAGAAAAATTTCAAAACATTTTATTTCCGAGATTCATCGCTTGATTTCATCATATGCAAATTTTCAGGATGAAAGAGTGCCACTTGGATTTTGTGTTACATGCTGTTGCAACCTGAAAAAATTGGATGATGGAGCTAATGCCTTAAAGGCAAAACAACTCTACAGTTTTGATTATATTGTTGTGAAGCCATTAACAAGACTTACAACATGTTGTGATTGCATTATTTGTCAAATTGCGAAGGTGAAAGGAAAAAAAAAGCATCCATTTGAAAAGAGTCTTGCATCAAAATCTTTGCAAGAAGAAAGAAAGTCAGTTGAAAAACCATGCACAAAATGCTTGTCTTTCATTGCTCGTGGAATTTCTCACAACTGTACTGATACAACTCGCTATGCAAACTTATACCAATTTGCATTAGAAGATTCTGTGGGTGCAGAACAAGTTGCTTCATCTGTCATTGCATCGAAAGAAGCATCTCTGGGCAGAATAATTTGTCTTGGTCAAACTCATGACAAAAAAACCTCTTCCAATAAAAAAAGGTTAGTTAATTTATTATTCTGTACATTTTGAGGAATATAATTTATATGTGAAATAAATGATTTATTTTTCTTTCTTAAGGAACATCTGCAGCTCTTTCACTCTTTCAAGGCCTTTTGAAAACAAAAACTATAGATGATGTTCAGCAGAATACTGGGCTTTCAAACAATAAATTCTGAAAGCTTGGATCTTTTCTTAACCAAATTACTCCAGTTTGCCTTCTTGAGCCAATTTTTCCAAAAAAATTTGCATCAGTAGGATCTAGTAGAAAGGATTTTTTTATTGCTACCAATGTAAAATTGCCAGATTCTAATAAGGTTTGTGACATTGTTCATTGTATCAATTTAAAAACCCTGAGAGAAAACATCACAGTTTCAAAAGATTTGATGAGCTCAGACACTATGAAACTGGGCCTTGATGGTGGAGGGTCCTTTTTCTAAGTTAGTTTGAGTTTAATTTCTGAACACCAAACAGAACAACAAAGTCCAGTAAAAAAGTCAATTAAGTTGGCTTCAAGTTAAAATTTTAAAAGCACGGGTGCCAAAAAGCAATTAATTGTAGCAATCTCTGAAAACACCCCAGAAAAATTTGGCAATATTAAACTGATTTTGGACCTAATGCAAGTTAATGAATTAATTGACAAATTGATTCTGTCATGTGGATGAAGCTTGCAAATATTATCTGTGGAATTCTCACAGTAGCAAGCATCCTTGCTACTGGTGCAACTGAGTCAACAAATTTGAACAACTGTAGCCAATTCAGAACATTTGGAACAATCAGAGAGCAACATCAAACATTTATTTTATCTGGTGCTGATCTAAAGAAATTCAATTCCCAGATGAAAAGCTAATCTTAGAAGCTATTCCTCCAATGGAACTTTATTTGTTTCTTGGCATTCTTAACCATCTTATTAAGCACTTGGATCAAGTTTTGCCAAAAACAAAAGAATGGTTGACAAAAGATGGTTCAATACATATACCATTACAGCCGTACCACGATGGTCACTTCAATGGCAATGATTGTATGAAGTTGCTGAAAAAAATTGACACTCTGAAGCAGATAACCGTGGCTGATAAGGCATTTGAAGCATCATCCATCTGCCATGTTCTACATTTGTTTCTCCAAGTTGTTAATTCTTGTTTTGGATGCTCACTCTCTCTTTGAGAAAAAGATTCAAGAATTTAAGAGCAATTATCTAAAGTTGACTGTTTTTGTCACACCAAAAGTTCATGCTGTCTTTTACCATGTTCCACAATTTCTAAAGCACCATAAAACTGGCCTTGGAATTTACAGTGAGCAAGCAACAGAGGCACTCCATTCAAACTTCAAGCCTCATTGGCAAAGATTCAAAAGGATTATGTCTCATCCAGATTATTCCAAACAGCTGTTAAATTGTGTTGTTGATTACAAATTGAAAAGTTTTGGATTTCAAAATTTTTTTAAAATTAAAAATTAATTTCAATATAAGTGATAGAA